GTATGGGTAGGTTGGTAATTTAGTGGGGTACTTGGGTATGGGTAGGTTGGTAATTTAGTGGGGTACTTGGGTATGGGTAGGTTGGTAATTTAGTTGGGTACTTGGTTATGGGGTAGGTTGGTAATTTAGTGGGGAACTTGGCTATGGGGTAGGTTGGTAATTTAGTGGGGAACTTGGCTATGGGGTAGGTTGGTAATTTAGTGGGGTACTTGGTTATGGGTCAATTGGCAGTCTGGTGGGGAACATGATTACAAACATGAGTAGGTTGTATTAGTTTAGTAGGGTAGCTAGTTATGAATAAGATAATAGTGTTGTGGGATATTTGGTAATGCTTACGTTGGTAGTTAAGTGAGGTACTTGGTTAAGAGTGAGTTGGTAATGTAGTGGAGTACTCGGTTATGAGTGAGTTGGTAATGTAGAGGAGTACTCGGCTATGAGTGGGTTGGTAATGTAGAGGAGTACTCGGCTATGAGTGGGTTGGTAATGTAGTGGAGTACTCGGCTATGAGTGAGTTGGTAATGTAGTGGAGTACTCGGTTATGAGTGAGTTGGTAATGTAGAGGAGTACTCGGCTATGAGTGGGTTGGTAATGTAGTGGAGTACTCGGCTATGAGTGAGTTGGTAATGTAGTGGAGTACTTGGTTATGAGTGGGTTGGTAATGTAGTGGAGTACTCGGTTATGAGTGGGTTAGTAACGTAGTGGAGTAATCGGTTATGAGTGGGTTGGTAATGTAGTGGAGTACTTGGCTATGAGTGGGTTGGTAATGTAGTGGAGTACTTGGCTATGAGTGGGTTGGTAATGTAGAGGAGTACTCCGCTATGAGTGGGTTGGTAATGTAGTGGAATACTCGGCTATGAGTGGGTTGGTAATGTAGTGGAGTACTTGGCTATGAGTGGGTTGGTAATGTAGAGGAGTACTCCGCTATGAGTGGGTTGGTAATGTAGTGGAGTACTCGGCTATGAATGGGCTGGTACTTTACTTGGGTACTAGGCTATGAGTAAGATAGTAGTGTAGTGAGGTATCTATGAGTATGGTAGTAGTGTAGTGAGGTATCTATGAGTATGGTAGTAGTGTAGTGAGGTATCTATGAGTATGGTAGTAGTGTAGTGAGGTATCTATGAGTATGGTAGTAGTGTAGCAGGATACCTGGTCGAATGATAGTGTTTTAGTACTTTATAGAAGTAAAAATGTTAATTGTAAAAAGACAATGAACATAGGCAGCTGACTTAAACAAGGGATCTCTAAAAGCCTGCATCAATAATAGTCTCAAGGTAAACAGTGTTCTACAAGACAAAATTAAAAACTCATTTTCAATTAACATTTTCCTACTTAAACCTGTCCTCAATCTAAAATTCTGCTTCTGCAGACTTCTTGAAGTAAATATTGCTTTCATCTGAAAACATGCGTAAAGAATATTACCTGTGTAACATAGAGAGCATGTGCTAAATTGACAACAAACATGTAACTCTAGTATACAAAATGTAATATTTTCTAATCAACACAAAATTGTTTTTCTGTAACATTTAATTTGCTTCATCATAACAAAACACATTAACTGTTTTTTGTGACCGTTAGGTGAACAGACTAAAGTCTGCACCCCCTTTTTTCCACTAAACACTACACATTAATGACTTTCAATAACAGTCTGCACCTTTTTATCCACATAGACTTTCACTAAACATTAACAATTTTTAATTGAATACTAATCACACTCCAATTAGTTTTTGCCATTTCTTTTCACTATAAATAAGTTGTTACTAATATAAATAACACACCACACTGCTAAACACATTATAATCCTATGAAAGAATCTCTGTAGAAATTGTACCAATGAAGCACTATACTCTTGTCAAAATGTAAATTAAGATTATGGAGAGGCTTTTCTCTTTATTGTTTAAACAGTGGGCTGATGAGTAGGAAGATTAACCAAACATCTAGATATTGGCAAAAACACTCTCATGATTTGAATGAAATCAACTCTCCATATTCAAAAATTCATTGTGAACAACACATGTCATCGACAACACATATTGTAAATTACTTAGATTTTGCAATCTTATCTCTCCAGTCCTATTCTGAAAACACTGATCTAAAAAGGACTTTGTGAATGATAAGTTATTAGACACATGTACTCAGCAGACTAAATATTGGTAATCAAACCCACATGGATGCCATCCAGAGTTATTTCCTTACAAATCAAAGTGAGGGATTTGAATTCCTGATTGACTCTTCTCCTGCATTAACTCGAAAATTTACATTGGAAAGTACTACATCTAAGTCATGTTACATGTACCATGTTTGGCATTCGGACATCATCAACACATCATCAACAATTTATAATACAAACAGAAAGATTTCAGCAGTAAAATAATTGATGAAAATATTTAATGTAACATTTAATATGACGAATGAGAATATCTTCACAAACACAAGAGGCCTAATAGACCTGTATCATCCACCTGGTATTCAATGCTTTTCGCAAATATTTAACATTCCATATCACTAATATTCAAAGTCTTGGTTGATAATAAGTCATCAGAAAAAAATTGAAAAAAATGACCCCTGTGATCTTGATTAAGGTTTAAGGTTACTTCTTTTTGCTAACTTTGTTGGACTTCATCTCGGGAACCTCTAAGCCATTTGGTAATTGTTAAGGCTGAGGCCGGACAGACATTGGCTTGTCACTTTGCTCAAATGGTCAAAGAAGTTAATAATGTGACCATCATAACACAGAGAAATCCTACTTGGATCTGTCACCATCGATTGATCTTCACAGGATACATTTCTCCTCCCTGTTTTTAACTGCTGCATTGACATTTGTGATAATAGCAAATGAATAAGTAATATAATCAAGTTTTTTTATGCATTGTTTGAAATGTTAAAACTACATAAAATATATGTTAAAGACAATACATTCTGTCTAAAGATGACAAACCCAAATTCCAAGAAGGTTTGTCGGCCATCCAGTTTTTACACAAGTACATTGGTAAGTCTTGATGGGGGACATGCCTTTAAAATTTGATAGTAGTAACAATAATGCTCAAATTTAAAGATGAGTACCTTATATGAGCCACATTCTTCAAATCTGTATGAACATTAAATACACTTAACAAGTGACAATGGATAAATAACAATAACACAACCTTCTAAGGTTCAGAATCCTAGATAGTCACCTACTGACAATTCTGTCTATAATTAGCCACCTACTGACAATTCTGTCTACTAATAGTAACCTATTGACAATTCTGTCTATTAATAGCTGCTTATTGACAATTCTATGTAGTAATAGCCACCTATTGACAATTCTGTCTATTAATAGCCACCTATTGACAATTCTGTCTATCAATAGCTGCTTATTGACAATCCTGTCTATTAATAGCCACCTATTGACAATTCTGTCTATTAATAGCCACCTATTGACAATTCTGTCTAGTAATAGCCACCTATTGACAATTCTGTCTATTAATAGCTGCTTATTGACAATTCTGTGTAGTAATAGCCACCTATTGACAATTCTGTCTATTAATAGCCACCTATTGACAATTCTGTCTATTAATAGCTGATTATTGACAATCATGTCTATTAATAGCCACCTATTGACAATTCTGTCTATTAATAGCCACCTATTGACAATTCTGTCTAGTAATAGCCACTTATTGACAATTCCTCTATTAATCAATCTCAAAATTAACATGCACAACTAGAAACACATAATGGGGAACTTGTATATGAAATTTCCAAAGATCCATGAAGCACTTCCTGAGAAATAGCAATAAGAATTGCTTGGGGCAGTCAACAGACAACAGATGAAGGGTATTTTGGACAGCCTACCATTTTATGATGGCTGACTAAAACTCATATGATGTGAGTATGTGTGACGATGTTGAGTACATATGATTGATTGTATGATTATAGGAGTATGTATGACTACGTGAGTAACGTTGATTAGGCAAGTATGTATTATAAGATTTCAAAACCAATAATGAAAATACGATATACAATAATTTTCCTACAAAATCATAATTTTGAAAAAGTCCAAAATATGAATAAAATTACATGCATTACAATGAGATCATCAATCTGACACTAAAAACAAATACCAGTGCCAGGTAATGTAGACTTGTACCCTTCTTCAACAACAATGAGCCTTGTAAATTGTGTTCTGGACAATATAAGTTCATTTGGATAATTTGCTCTCATGACAACACATGATTATCTGGATAATCTGTTTCCATGACAACACAATATAATCAAAATGATTTGTTCTTATGACAACATAAAATTATCTAGATAATTTGTTCTCAAGACACCAGAAAATAACCCTGGTTTTTTTTCTTTTTTTTTCTCTCAAAACAAAATAAGATGATTTGGATAATGCATGTATATGCTAATGACAACACGACAATATCCTGGTATCGTTTATATGTTTTCACGACGACAGAAGACTTTCTTGATCATTTGTTCTCATGAAAAGTTTTCTTGGTAATTTGTTTTGATGACAACAAAACTTAATCCTGATAAATTCTGACAGTTTGTTCACGGAAGCAGGGTTCATAGACAATTTTTAGAGACACCATCATGAACCAATAGCTGTCATAGAACTGCTTAGCACCTAGCAAGTGCCTCCCTGCCTGAAAGAGTTGTTCAGGATGAGACAATCCATTGTAGTAACTGATAGTGGTATCCAGTGTAGTAACTGATAGTGGTATCCAGTGTAGTAACTGATAGCGGTATCCAGTGTAGTTACTGATAGTGGTATCCAGTGTAGTAACTGATAGTGGTATCCAGTGTGGTAACTGATAGCACTAAATCACCATTGCTCACTTTGCTGAACACATTGATTGTTCAAATGTTGTGTAATGACACTTGAAAGTGCACATAAATATCACTGTTCACTATCCAGAATTTCTCCAGTTCAGCCTGAGATAAACTTGTGGCTCGATGCTTGGGAAATCTTGTGTCACTTTCTGTAAAACTATATGACTGACATCAGTTTGTGTTCAAGTGTTATCCTTGTTTGTGAGATGATTCTGTAGTTTATGCTGAGACAACTGCTGTGCACTCTCCGCTGTAGCTATAGCTGATGTAGTTGACATGGCATTGCTGGGCAGGTTCCCGATAGAATGTGAAATATTGTAGGATGGTTGACAAGTCTGTATCTGTAAAGGGAAAGTCATTTTAAATGATGTCACGCTCCAAACAACCAGGGACAAATGTCAAAATAGTGTAGTGAGGTATATATATATATAAAAGACAATAAAAAGCAAAACAAAATTAAAAAACAAAGTGATGTCAGGAAAAATAAAAGTAACCTAGACTTCCCATCCTGAGACCTAGAATCCATTCATTGAAAGTTTAAAAGTATTCTAATAACAGACACTTACATTCTGTTTTGTTAAAATCAATAATGTTAAAACATTTAATCTCTACAGGGTTAACTATAAATTGGTAAAGACTGACTTTGTCTATTCTAACATGGATTTGTGATAATAAACTTAGGTGTCATGGATCTACACAGATTCATGTTTAAAACTGTCTTATGGGTAAATCAACCAATACTGTGGGTGACTTACTGTATGATGAGGAATACCCACAGGAACTGTCAAAGCTGATGATGAGAGAGCTGCTGGGTTGATTTGAGCTGTAAATATATAGAATAAGTAGGTCTTTGATCAAATGAACAGGCATATAATATTAATCAGTCCCAGGCAATTAAATAGAGACAGCTAAACCCCCAAAAAAACTTAACTTACAACTAATTCTACCTACTAATCATTCAAAACTTTACCTGCTATGTGAAAGTTATATACAAATACTTAAAATCTTAACTTTGGTACTATTTAGTTACAGATCATGAATGTTTAAAACTATCACCAGATATTAGTTTATATAATCACTTTAAATCATTGATAACAAGAGTACCGCAGGGCGGAACAATATATGCCCGTCCAAAACTGTTTTTTTTAATACACCTTCCTATGAAGTTTCAAATTAATTAATGAAAAATTACTCAAGTTATTGAAGGGAAACCTATTTTGCAAATGTACAAAGGGCTATAACTCTGTAAATAATGGGTGAAAGATTTTGGTTATCGAACTTGACCTGTCTTTTATGGTAATAAACCTTCCTGTGAAGTTTCCAGTTAATTTGTAAAAAATTTCACAAGTTATCGATGGGAAACCTACTTTGCAAATGTACCAAGGGCCATAACTCTGTTAATAATGGGTGAAAAATTTTGGTTATCGAACTTGACCTGGCTTTTATGGTAATAAACCTTCATGAGAAATTTCAAATTAATCTGTACAAATTATTCAAGTTATCCAATGAAAACCTATGTGCTGCCGCCTGCCCGCCCACTTGAAAACATAATACGTCCCGTCTTTCGACGGGCGTATAAAAACATACTATAAACACCTGGTTGGTCAGAACAATTAAGTAATGCTGAACTTGGTCAAATAATATTATAAACTTAAGTTCGAAAAACATGGCCTGATAAAAACTTTTCAATGCACTTGTCTGTCAAGACTAGTGGCCTGGTTAAAAGTACTTGTCCATACAAGGAATTCACTTGTCAAGAAAATTCACGATAACAAATTTTAGTCATGCATCATACAGCACTCACATATCATGTATCAGATTTAAATTAAATCAAGTTCAGTTGTAAATCAATTGTTGATATCTGAGGAATGTTTTCCTACTATGACTAGCCCCCACACGAATTAAAGAATGTTCAATGACAGAGCTACATGTATTACAAATATTACTGAGCAGGTGATCCTTTGTGACCAACTGAGCTATATTTTTTCAAAGAACCTACAGAAAAAATAATGCTAATGCAAGATACTCTTTCTTGAAGATATTTTTTCCAGTTTTCTTTAAATTTCTACCAATTAGTGAAGAAAACTGTCTTCAATTTGGAGTACATTGTATTGACAAATGTGTCAATATCGTCTTAAGAGATTCTAATGGAAGTTACATGTAAATCAACTGTTATAAAACCCTGGTTTTGATCTGTTCTTATTCAAATTGAATATTGTGAAGAAGCTATATAAACCCCTAAAAAGCTACTGTCAGCTTGTGTAGTGGTGAAAGTTTCAGACTATGTCTACTGATTCATGATTTAATTAATCTCACAAGTGTTTAAGAAACATATTTTTAAGTATTTCAGTTTTTTATTTGATGTAATAATCAGGGATATATGGAGGGCGATTATATAAACAAAATATATAATGAAACATTGGTGGGTTTTTTATATAATATATATGATAACATTCTGTGATCCTTATGTTAATTGCCTGTTCAACAGAATTGGAGCCTCAAGTTGTGTAAGCTGGTGCATGCACGATGCAACAGCAAACAAAATGAAAATCAAACTATGTGATCCTACACTGTGTATCTGTAATGATGACATGTTATTTACCTGTGTGATCCTGACACTGTGTATCTGTAATGATGTTATTTACCTGTGTGATCTAATGTGTTATTTACCTGTGTGATCCTGACACTGTGTATCTGTAATGATGACAATTATTTACCTGTGTGATCCTGACACTGTGTACATGTGTAATGTGTATCTGTAATGATCATGTTATTTACCTGTGTGATCCTGACACTGTGTATCTGTAATGATGACATGTTATTTACCTGTGTGATCCTGACACTGTGTATCTGTAATGATGACATGTTATTTACCTGTGTGATCCTGACACTGTGTATCTGTAATGATGACATGTTATTTACCTGTGTGATCCTGACACTGTGTATCTGTAATGATGACATGTTATTTACCTGTGTGATCCTGACACTGTGTATCTGTAATGATGTTATTTACCTGTGTGATCCTGACACTGTGTATCTGTAATGATGTTATTTACCTGTGTGATCCTGACACTGTGTATCTGTAATGATGACATGTTATTTACCTGTGTGATCCTGACACTGTGTATCTGTAATGATGACATGTTATTTACCTGTGTGATCCTGACACTGTGTATCTGTAATGATGACATGTTATATACCTGTGTGATCCTGACACTGTGTATCTGTAATGATGACATGTTATTTACCTGTGTGATCCTGACACTGTGTATCTGTAATGATGACATGTTATTTACCTGTGTGATCCTGACACTGTGTATCTGTAATGATGACATGTTATTTACCTGTGTGATCCTGACACTGTGTATCTGTAATGATGATGTTATTTACCTGTGTGATCCTGACACTGTGTATCTGTAATGATGACATGTTATTTACCTGTGTGATCCTGACACTGTGTATCTGTAATGATGACATGTTATTTACCTGTGTGATCCTGACACTGTGTATCTGTAATGATGACATGTTATTTACCTGTGTGATCCTGACACTGTGTATCTGTAATGATGACATGTTATTTACCTGTGTGATCCTGACACTGTGTATCTGTAATGATGTTATTTACCTGTGTGATCCTGACACTGTGTATCTGTAATGATGACATGTTATTTACCTGTGTGATCCTGACACTGTGTATCTGTAATGATGACATGTTATTTACCTGTGTGATCCTGACACTGTGTATCTGTAATGATGACATGTTATTTACCTGTGTGATCCTGGCACTGTGTATCTGTAATGTTGAAATGTTATTTACCTGTGTGATCCTGACACTGTGTATCTGTAATGATGACATGTTATTTACCTGTGTGATCCTGACACTGTGTATCTGTAATGATGACATGTTATTTACCTGTGTGATCCTGACACTGTGTATCTGTAATGATGACATGTTATTTACCTGTGTGATCCTGACACTGTGTATCTGTAATGATGACATGTTATTTACCTGTGTGATCCTGACACTGTGTATCTGTAATGATGACATGTTATTTACCTGTGTGATCCTGACACTGTGTATCTGTAATGATGACATGTTATTTACCTGTGTGATCCTGACACTGTGTATCTGTAATGATGACATGTTATTTACCTGTGTGATCCTGACACTGTGTATCTGTAATGATGACATGTTATTTACCTGTGTGATCCTGACACTGTGTATCTGTAATGATGACATGTTATTTACCTGTGTGATCCTGACACTGTGTATCTGTAATGATGACATGTTATTTACCTGTGTGATCCTGACACTGTGATCCTGACACTGTGTATCTGTAATGATGACATGTTATTTACCTGTGTGATCCTGACACTGTGTATCTGTAATGATGACATGTTATTTACCTGTGTGATCCTGACACTGTGTATCTGTAATGATGACATGTTATTTACCTGTGTGATCCTGACACTGTGTATCTGTAATGATGACATGTTATTTACCTGTGTGATCCTGACACTGTGTATCTGTAATGATGACATGTTATTTACCTGTGTGATCCTGACACTGTGTATCTGTAATGATGACATGTTATTTACCTGTGTGATCCTGACACTGTGTATCTGTAATGATGACATGTTATTTACCTGTGTGATCCTGACACTGTGTATCTGTAATGATGACATGTTATTTACCTGTGTGATCCTGACACTGTGTATCTGTAATGATGTTATTTACCTGTGTGATCCTGACACTGTGTATCTGTAATGATGACATGTTATTTACCTGTGTGATCCTGACACTGTGTATCTGTAATGATGTTATTTACCTGTGTGATCCTGACACTGTGTATCTGTAATGATGACATGTTATTTACCTGTGTGATCCTGACACTGTGTATCTGTAATGATGACATGTTATTTACCTGTGTGATCCTGACACTGTGTATCTGTAATGATGACATGTTATTTACCTGTGTGATCCTGACACTGTGTATCTGTAATGATGACATGTTATTTACCTGTGTGATCCTGACACTGTGTATCTGTAATGATGACATGTTATTTACCTGTGTGATCCTGACACTGTGTATCTGTAATGATGACATGTTATTTACCTGTGTGATCCTGACACTGTGTATCTGTAATGATGACATGTATTTATGTGTGATCCTGTGTGTATCTGTAATGATGTGTTATTGTGTGATGATCTGTAATGATGACATGTTATTTACCTGTGTGATCCTGACACTGTGTATCTGTAATGATGACATGTTATTTACCTGTGTGATCCTGACACTGTGTATCTGTAATGATAACATGTTATTTACCTATGTGATCCTGACACTGTGTATCTGTAATGATGACATGTTATTTACCTGTGTGATCCTGACACTGTGTATCTGTAATGATGTTATTTACCTGTGTGATCCTGACACTGTGTATCTGTAATGATGACATGTTATTTACCTGTGTGATCCTGACACTGTGTATCTGTAATGATGACATGTTATTTACCTGTGTGATCCTGACACTGTGTATCTGTAATGATGACATGTTATTTACCTGTGTGATCCTGACACTGTGTATCTGTAATGATGACATGTTATTTACCTGTGTGATCCTGACACTGTGTATCTGTAATGATGACATGTTATTTACCTGTGTGATCCTGACACTGTGTATCTGTAATGATGACATGTTATTTACCTGTGTGATCCTGTGTGATCCTGTGTGACACTGTGTATCTGTAATGATGACATGTTATTTACCTGTGTGATCCTGACACTGTGTATCTGTAATGATGACATGTTATTTACCTGT